AATCTAGGAGTAAAAACAAAGATTTTTGGCAGGGTTAAGTAATTTAGAAAGTCACTATAGTAATATAAAAATGGAATGTTTTAGAGAGCAATGTGTGTGAAGCAGACATCAGTTATTCTATAGTTGTGAAACTATAGAATATGGAGCTGTAGTGTTCTTACTGATAATAAGCATTATTTCATCAGATTCTTGTGAGAATTAAATGGTAGAACACGAAAAACACCTAACGGTGTCTATCATAAATTAGGCACTAAAAACAAACAACCAAACAAACAAGCAAACAGAATGAACTATACATTTAAGATGAGGGTAGATACCCAAAATTTTGCAACAGGTTCACATTTCCCAATTTAAAAAAGAATAGTCTTGGGTGATGTTCTTTAAAGAAAAAGAAAAAGGGGATCCCTGGGTGGCGCAGCGGTTTAGCGCCTGCCTTTGGCCCAGGGCGCGATCCTGGAGACCCAGGATCGAATCCCACGTCAGGCTCCCGGTGCATGGAGCCTGCTTCTCCCTCTGCCTGTGTCTTCTGCCTCTCTCTCTCTCTCTCTCTGTGTGTGTGACTATCATAAATAAATAAAAATTAAAAGAAAAAGAAAAAGGCATCCCGAACTCCTAAATAATAATTCTATTAAAATATAGGGATAAACTTTTGAAAGTATAAACTGAGAGAAATATATTTATTTAAAAGCTGGCATGGGTGTAAGTTGAACCTCTCTGAGACCTGCTAACAGAGAAGGGCAGGAACCCATGTGTTTGTTTTTGGTATGGTACATCAATAATCTCATCCAGGGTTTCCAGGAGTTCATTCAGAGTAGGTCTGCCACAAGTGGTAAACAAAAAAACAGATGCCAAAGAACCACGAACAGCTCTGGGAAGTCTCAACAGGGCTTTATAAAGAATAAATTGTAAACAAGGCTAATGCATCCATTAGAGGTCATAGAGCCTGTAGACACACTGGAAGCAACAACACTAGTTTTTCTTCCCCACATATATATCTTGGGAGCACTAAGATTTATTTATTTATTTATTTATTTATTTATTTATTTATTTATTTATTTATTTACTTATTTGTTTATTTCATTTTAAATATTTTTTAGCGTTGAGAGTGTTAAATCAGGTCTTTATGAGATTTACAAATAACAAACTGGGAAAGAGGTACTTGTGGACAAGTAGCTGATTAGAATTTTTCTACTGGGGCAGCCCGGGTGGCGCAGCGGTTTAGCGCCGCCTGCAGCTCAGGGTGTGATCCCAGAGACGTGGGATCCAGTCCCACATCAGGCTCCTGCATGGAGCCTGCTTCTCCCTCCTCCTGTGTCTCTGCCTCTCTCTCTATGTCTATCATAAATAAATAAACAAATCTTAAAAAAAAGATATCTCTAATATACATGTATTTAAAAAAAAAAGAATTTTTCTACTGAAGGGTTACTACTAGTGGTTCAACAGTCACATGATTAGCCCAATCTTCCATATCTTTCTTCCAAAGCTTGTCACAGAAGAGTTTGATTGAAACCTATTTTACTATGGTGAAAATACAAACCTGCAACTACTGTCCAGGTGGGTAAAGCATTTTTGAAGGGACTCAGAGTTACTTTTGGGGGTGAGTCAGTTTCTCAAGCACTTCTGAGTGTCTTTGTGACCAGAGGCATACCTTAGAGCTTTGGATTGCAAATGCAAATAAGTCATGGTTCCTACCCTTGAATAGCTCATGGTCTTAATGGACTGTTAAGTGAAACAGACACAGAGATACATGACATGTGCTATAAAGTGGTAAATGTAACTAGAGATATGGAAGTATAGAGGCATAGGTAAGGCTGATTTGAAGATCCATGGAGGCTCTGTGAAGGATACAATACTGGAACTGATTCACTGGAATATGAGGAGTTAGCTGGGTGAGGCTAAATGACAGAGGTCTTTAAGGGTGGTGGCTTTAAAGGCAGGGGACTGTACAAAACATGGAATTGTATCATTGCACTGTGTATATCTGGGTAGTGAGAGAGTAAAGCCGATGGTGGGAATGGGCTAGAAAAGGAACTAGAGAAGCAGGTAGCAGCCAGGTCATTGAAGACTAGATGTAACATTAAACATCTTGGTTTTTACCTTAAAAGAAATGGGGGATATTGAAGAGTTTTTAAGAAGGGAGCATGATGGTCAACTTTCCATTTTAAATACATCATTGTGATACCAATCTAGAAACTGGGCATGAAGTAGCAAAGGGAGACAAATTAAGAAGCTATTAAAATTGTTTATGCCAAGGAAGCTAGGAGCCTAAATGAGGAATGAAGTAAAAAGAGTGAAGGGGAATATAGATTCAATCAGTGTTGAGGTTTAACTGGCAAAACTTAGACTAAATGAACATAGCCATTCAATAAATGTGTTTTAGAGGAAAGAGCATAACTTAGCAGGTGCAGATGATAAATTCAATTTTGAACATGTTAAGACTGTAGTGCTTATGAAGGTATCCAAATGCATTTTAATCATGAGAGTAGTCCAGGCTAGAGATGAAACATTTCAGATCCTCAGCAGGTACATGATAGCCCAACAAAAAAAAATTGTATTACCTAAGGAAAACACATTCATTCAATAAATGCTTAATGGGCATCTGCTCCATTACTGACATTTTTTTAGGCTCTATAATTAAAGTAGTGAACAAAACAGTGTCTGCTTATACAGAATATGAATTCTATGCTCAGGTTGGGAAGAGCATTGGGATCAGGAAGCAGTGTAGATGGAGACAGAGAAGGTCTCAAATAGATTAAGAAAAGAAGAAAAGGAATAGAAGAAGGCCTCTAGGAATTAAGGAAAGAAATAGTGTTAAAGAGATAGTCAACAATGTCAAATATGGCATGTGAACTGGTACAGCCACTCTGGAAAACTGTGTGGAGGTTCCTCAAACAGTTAAAAATAGAGCCACCCTATGACCCAGCACTTGCACTACTGGGGATTTACCCCAAAGATACAGGTTAGTGAAAAGCCAAGACACTTGCACTCTAATGTTTATGGCAGCAATGTCCACAATAGTCAAACTGTAGAAGGAGCCTCGGTCAGTGTCCATCGAAAGATGAATGGATAAAGAAGACGTGGTCTATATATACAATGGAATATTACTCAGCCATCAGAGATGATGAATACCCATCATTTGCTTCGACATGGATGGAACTGGAGAGTATTATGCTGAGTGAAGATAAGTCAATCAGAGAAGGACAATCATTATATGGTTTCTCTCATACGGGGAATATGAAAAATAGTGAAAGGGATTATGGGGGAAAGGAAAGAAAATGAGGGGGAAAAATTAGAGATGGTGACAAAACATGAAGACTCCTAACTCTGGAAAACGAATAAAGGATAGTGGAAGGGGAGGTGAGTGGGAGTATGAGGTGACTGGGTGACAGGCACTGAGGGGGCACTTGACGCACTAGGTGCGCACTAGTGCACACTAGCACTAGGTGTTATACTATATATTGGCAAATTGACTTTAAAATTTTTTTAAAAATGTAATAAAAATAAAATAAAAAATATGGCATAGATGTTCACTTAAATAAGACCTCAAGAGTGTTCACTGGGTTGGGAAATATGGAAGCCATGCTGACCTGGATGAAAGCAGTTTTAATGGAGTGTGGAACATGGATCAGATAGCAGAATATTTAAGAACTTGAAGAAAATTGGAGACATTGGATATAAAAAAACATTTAAAAGGGATTTGGATGAGAAGTGAAATATGTAGGTGGGAGACTAGAGGGGGAAGGACATTTATCTTTTGCCCCAAATTTGCATTTTCAGTAGATTCTATACATCTTTATCTTGATATTCCATCAACAATACAAACTCAACAACAACTAACTAAAGCATCAGAAATCACTATTTTTGTATATGCCCTCACTCTCCCTACATATCCTGGCTTTAAACTTTGTCTCCTCTCCAGAATTTTTATATTTAATCATTAGCAAGACCTGCCTTTTCTTCACTTTTACCACTTCTCTATTGCAGACTCCTCTCTGCAATATGATTGGTTATGTCAACCTAACAAAAGTCCTCTCTACTCTTGTGTTTTTGCTTAACAATCCATCCTGCCATCACTGCCAAAATAATCTTGCTAAAAACACATTTCTGTTCCTGTTACTCCCCTGATCTAAGGGCTTTAAGTGCATTGCAGTGCCAACCAACTTAAGTGCAAACCCACTAACCTGGCATTCAAATTTTTCCATGATATGGTTTCAATCAAACTTCTCTATCTTATATTTATTTTCTCTAAACATGTGCCCTGAGATCCAGTCAAATTGGGTTGCTTGATCACTGTTTCCAAAATTTGATATTACTCCCACCCTGGACATGAATTCTCCTCTACGTTGTCCAAATTTTATCTATCCCTTAAATACCAGCTCAGTTGTCTCCTTAATCATTTTTTTTGCCAAAATTCCTACATTGCATTTATCCTCTTAATCATCATAATACTTTATCCATAGTGATGCTTTTTGCATTCTAGATACTTGTAAATTATATTTATATTCTCTACTATATTTTAAGATCTATGAGAGCAGAGGCCCTACTTAACATGTTTTTATTATCATATCTTGCAGAGGACACAGTAGTTGTTTCATACATGTTTGGTAAATGTAAGCGAACTCCCAAGGATATAGAACATTTTATATAACATTTTGGAGCTCAAAATGACCTTACAGATGACACAGTCAAACTCTTTTATTTTATAGCAGAAGGAATTGAAGCTAAAAAAATGTCAAGTGATTTGCTCAAGTCACATGACTGGTCCAATGACAAAGCAGTTCTACAATTCTACCTCTTGACTCTCAGTCCGATCCCCTTTCCATCGTGACAGCACCTGTTTGGGAAGCTTGAGCTGAACTGCCATTCTTCTCATCATGGTCTTTGACTCCTTGGTCCCTGGCACCATCATTTGCATTAAAGGCATAGAGCCCTTTCTAGTCTTAGAAGTTTGTAAATCCATAACCAACTGGAAGAAGCCTCAAGCAGTCCACCCGACTTACCAGGCGAAAGAGAGAAATGGTGTTCCCAGTGATGTTGTAGTGGGCTAGAACCTCAGAATCCGTGCTGATTCCAAATGACACATCTTGGAATTTTTGCACCATGCTATGGAATAGGGACACTGCTGGTATTTCTAAATCCTAAAGACAAGAGGAAAAAAAAAAAAACCCACAGAGATTATGTTGGAGATGAGACGCATCAACAGACTAGGAGTTAGAAATATGCTTACTCATGAAAAAATCATAGACTTGATTTAGTACTGGGTGAAACAACATCCTAAGAATGTAGCCTAAACTTGCAGCATTGTTGAATTTTCCAGGCTGGGTGGGCTAATAGGTAACTACAAAATTGTGGCTAAGCTTGAAACTCCTGTCTGGCCTTCCTATAAAACTTGCAGTTTATTAGCAGAGAGGGGCCTCAGAATCATAGAGGCCTGCAGAGTTTGGTGGCACTGTCACTGACCTACCCGAGGAAGCAAATGTTTTGGAAATAGGTGCTGCCAAAGGACCAAAAAAGAAAAAACAGAAGAATAAAGGAAATTAAATTAGAAGCTTAGAGGTTTTATTAACAAAGGTTTGTGCAGGACGAAGAACAGTCTTCTTCCCTGCATTAAGTCTAAAGCATTGCCCATGAAGAAACTGTTCTTGTGTTGTTCCAACTCTAGAACCCAGGCCTGCAGGAAGGAGCAGGGAAGCCACATATAAGTAATGGTTCCAGTCCTTCTGCAGCAAGCAGGCATCATTTTCCCAGCTGTCACAGGACCTTTGCCCAGAGAGGCTCCAGGAAATCAACTGGAGGGAGCATATTCTCTTCTGACATCTTTCTGGGCTGGAAGGAACAATGTGCAAAAAGAAAAGCAGCTGACTAGCCTTGCCTCTGGGGTCAAGCAGAGGGAGCTCGTATCTTGTTCATTGGAGGCATGTGTGGAGTTCATTTGAGGCTACAAACAATTGCTAATCTCTGCTTCCCCCTTTTTAATTCTCCTTAGAGGGGAATTACTCATGGATCAAATGACAGACGGCATCTGGTGGCTGCTTAACTTATTGCAAATTCCTCCATTCCGGCTTTCTTGCCTCTCCCTGCCTTTCTGAGATGGCTGTTTTGGTCTCCAGCTCAGATTTCTCTCATCACTGAGAAACGTGCTCCCTTGTCTTCCTTCCTCACTCGCATCTCATTGTAGCCATTTCCAGCTATGTTCACAGAATCAACTGGGTGATGATGAGTTGTAACTAATTAATGGAAATAGGAAGGTCTGCGATTAGAGTAGGGGCTTGATCTGTGAGAATAACCTGACATCACCTTCAAAGAAAGATAAAATATCCTGGAATGGTGCCCTTTTATTGTGGCTGCTTTCATTAGCCAGGCAGCAAATCTGGAAGGTGGAGGTTAACACCTTCAATATTCAAATGGTCATCCTTTTCAACATTTCAGAACAGAGAGAAAGCAGAATAAGGGACTTCCTGCCCCGTAAGGCTTTAGATAGAGATGAACTATTGGTTACTGTGTTGCCTGGATGATAGAAGTTGGGCTTACTCTGGCTCCTGCCCCAGCAATCTGGATACTGACTTAAAATTCAAAGCACTCATAGATGAGGAGACTCAGAACTCTTGAAGCAAGGATCAGAAAGACATAATTCAGAGACTAGGAATGTCTGGAAATTGATATGTCTTGATTAATAAGCTGAAAGCAGACTCTGTGCTCCTTGACTTAAATACAGTGTCATCTGGCCAGTAGGTGACTGTCATGGCTGCTCTGGGCTGGAATGTTAATGGTTCTTTAGGGGAACAGAAACAGGGTATCTAGACAAACCTGAAAGAAACCTATAACAGCCACCTCAGCAACAGCAATGAATTCCATGGTAGTTGAGACATCTGTGAGCCACATGGGTTTCTGGGAAGCAACAGAACCATCTAGAGAGAGAGAGAGAGAGAGAGAAGCAGAAGGCATTGGGGTATCAAATGGAGAAGCAGCAGTTCTAAATGCTGAGGGCATGTATACTTTTTCTCTCTCTACTATGGCCAAAGAAACCATAGTCTCTAGGGATACCATCATCATTCCAAGGCCTTATTGTTTTACTGACATATGGTGGATGACTCTACCTTATGGTTTCTCTCTGAAGGACAATGTTAGACTTTTCTTTTCTCCACTAGGCAACATGGGTCTTTATCTTTTTTCCGTTTCCTGGAAAATATTCTCCATTTGAGGAAAATTATCCAGAGCACTACCATGTTCCCATCCCCTTCCCTAACAACAGTTTCACCGTACAATCACCCAAGTGCTTTTTTCTTTTACCTGACGATTCCTGAACTTCTGCAGCAACTTCTGGAGATAGTCGCCATGTGAAAAGAAATAATAGAAACAAGAGTCTAGATTGGTCAGCTTCCATTGTTCTTTTCCTGCTCCTTCTCCGAGCCCTGGACTTTGTATTTTGCGGTGCTAGTTCAGGGCAGCCCACTCCAGTTAATTGGCTGTGGCGTTGTTAGTGTTCTGGGAACTGTGCAGCTGGCTCTATGGGAACCTTCAACATGTGAGATAAAAGACCAAATTCCATGACAGGATCCCAGAACATAACCAGCCAGAAGAAAGTTGAGTCTGTTCATTTGGATTAAAAAAAAAAAAGGAAATATTCTCTGAAGATATTGATCTAAGCATGAGGGATACAAAGATAAGTAAGATCTGATCCAGACTTTCCCAGCTTAGATTGTTAGTGTGAGAAATGGACCAATAGATCATTTAAGTACAAAATGGGAAGTGATAAAAAATTGAGAAACTCATAGGATACTATGAGAATACAGACTTAAGGACATTTAAGACAATGGTGGAGTTCAGTGAAAGTTCTCTTCCTCCAGCAGATGCTTAAGCAGAGTCCTTCATAAGTAGGATGTTGCCAGGCAACAAAGGTGGAAAGAGAGTTTCATGTAGAGCCAAACATGGAGATGCAAATGTATGGGAGAATTCTGAGTAATTGAATTTAGTCCAGATTGTAGGGGGCATTTGATAATAAGTGTAGGATCTTATTCTTTAGGTGATAGGGTAGTATGTAATTTGGCCCACAAGTGCCCTCAGAAATCCAAGATAGGATTCCCAGAGGCAGTGAGATATATAGGTCTCAAGCTCAGGAGGAAGTTCCAAATGTACTACTATAGAGTAAAATAATTCCAGATTTCTACCACTCAGATTCTGAATATTCGTTGCTCATCACACTAGAACAGGGTGACAAAACCTTCTCTGCTGTGTCCAGCCCACATGCCCTCTGAGGAAACTCATGAATATAAACGATTTAGTGATCATATTTGTTCAAAGGAAGAAGGCAGGGAAATGAAGGTCTCAGTCAGATCATACAACTGTTTTATTTACTCTCTTGTGCTCTTTACAATGTCTCCCAGAAAAGAAGAACCCCAACTTGTAGGGAATGTGATTAGGGACCTTCATTGAACCAGCAGCAACCACAGAAGAATCCAGGGTTGGGAATGAGCTACTGGAACCCAAGGCAAAAGGACTGTTAGTGATAGTTTGCCTATTTCCTGGCCTCTAGTTGCTCAAATGGGAAAAATAGAAGGAACTATTAAATGACTGGGTATTGAAATGAAGAATTTTGAAGATCTGGTCATGATGGGGGACCAGAAGGAATGGGCAGGATTAAAGTCTGGGTTTTAAGCATCTTGTGCTAGTGAACACTTTGAGAGACATGGTGCCTTAAGATACCTTGATAACAGAAAGTGGGGAGCATTGAGGAAGGGATCCAGCTGTGAATGGGGGGAGGGATGGGGTAGTGAACATGACTGAGAAGGTACTTCTGGGTGGCAGGGTAGGGAAAGGGATGGGCAGATGCACTCATTCTGTCCACTCCTTCTTAATGGACAGGTTCCACTCCCAAGTAAGGTGGTCATGCTTGTCATCATCAGTGAAGAAGGACTTGTTGTGGTAAGTGCCTCGAGCCAGCATGCCCTTGGGAGCCTCCTCAGCTGGAGTCAGGAACTCATACTCTTCCGGCCGAGGCCCGTAGCTGCCAACCATAAATGTTGCTTTATCCACTAGGAAGAAAGAAAAGTTCATTAGGGGAAGAATCAGACAGAAGAAAAGCAAACACAGAAAACTGGAACATTTGGAGTACAGCCTACGGCGATCAAACCCAAAAGCCATAGTTTCCAAGCCTAGCTAAACATCAGATTTACCTAGGGTATTTTTTTTTTCCTTTAAAATATTTTTTTATTGGAGTGTCTTTTAATAATACAGTTTCACTTTCAGGGACTATGGATCAGTAATCTGCTATGAATAGTGCCAAGAATCAGTGCATTTATTTATTTATTCATTCATTCATTTATGTATTTATTTATTTAAAAGATTTTATTTGAGAAAGTGAATGAGAAAGAGCACAAGAAGGGGGAGGGTCAGAGGAAGAGGGAGAAGCAGACTTCTTGCTGGGCAGGGAGCCTGACCCCAGGACCCTGAGATCAGTACCTGAGACAAGGGCAGACGCTTAACCGACTGAGCCACCCAGGCACCCCAAGAATCAATGTTTCTAAAAAGCATCACAGCTGATGCTGTCAGGAAAGTTGGGAAATCAGCACCTTAAATCCATGGGTATCAAGACCCTTCTTTTATGGAGATATAGCAGATTATACCATTAAAAGTCCCTCATTAATTGGGATCTGAGTTCTGGTCTCAGCTTTGCAATCACTTACATCACAAAACATTTCTGGGACTCTGCTTCTTTTTATATACAGTGAGCCTCAAGGGTCTTCTATCTACAACTCTCATTCTATGAACATATTAGTTGGCGGGGAGGTAAGGTAACAGCTGGTGATCAGAATGAACAGAACTCATGAATGGAAATACCAGATGGAAGGGGGAAGTCAATAATTTGGTTAAAAAAAAGTGAAGAACTGGTTCAAATGTTGAAAATAGCGAACCAAAGTTATTAATAGGTGAATAATGGAGATATATATTTAAAAAGGTAGGGCATTAGAATAACTAAAGGTCAGTAGGTACACAGGCAGGCAATGTGTACTTAGGTGTTCAGTGTTGTCAATAAGTTTGGAGGAACAGCTACAGGCATATCATCATCCTCTTTCCTAAGTGGGGCAACATAATCTCTATACCCAAAGGAAAATAGGAAACTGAACTATTTTTTTTCATGAGACTCGGTACTGGAAAGACCAGTTAAGATCTTCCAGGTCAACAATCTTCTGTGGGATTTGGATAATGGAGTGGTTGTGTCATGAAAATTTGTCAAAAAATTTTTCCCCTGATTCTTTGTTTAGTAATTTGGTGGAACTGACTTGTGCCTTACTGCTTCACACCGCTGGAAGAAGAGAGCACCCAAGGTAAAAGGGAACTGTATAAGTACTTCTATCACCTTTCCAAATTTCATTTCTCCCTGCCGATAATAATGGAAGGAAACTGAAGACAGTTCCCCAAGGCAGCTACAGTTTAGGTACAATTTGTCAAGTGCAACTGCAGATCATATGTCATATTATGTCTCAATCATAGCTTTTCTTAATTTAGAAAGAATTCTATTTCTTTGTTTTAAAAATTAAGTGCTGCCCCCCACCCCCACTCCACACCTGCCCACATGCTACTGCCAACTCCTATTCCCAAAAAACATGCCACTGGATAGATCCTTCCAGTCTTGGATTTCTCTGACACTTAGGTTTATACCTGTTAACTGCTTCTTTTAAAAGTTTTTTTTTTTTAATTTTTCTTTTCTTTTTTTTTTTTTTTTTACTTTTGAGGGTATTTTAATATAGTCCATTTTTATTCAAACTTATCTTGGTTACACTTCTCCTTTATGAATAATAAGCTTAAATCACAGAAGCTGAATGCTGAGGTTAGTGGTTGATCGAGTCTAAACTCGGTCTCTGACTGTAGGCCTTGCCATTAATGTCTAGGTTAGGGGTATATGTGTGCTCCTTCCTGGGAGAGTGTCCAAAGCTTTTCATCAGATTTTTAAAAGAGTCTATGACTACAGTTATTAATAAGCAGAAGTTTAAGTATCAGCAGGGAGCAGAGTTTGGGACAGCGTGAAGTGTGGGTCCCTTACCTTTCACCCCAGTCCGATAGGTATGTTGAACGTATTTCAGGCCTGACACAATATCCCTGTTCACCTGTAGGCAGGAAGGATCCAAGCAACTCAGATTAAAAATGGTCTTCATTTTTTCCTTATCTTTCATGCTTATCCTACCTAGCTGAGTCTTCTTTGAAGCTGAAAGAAGGTTAAGATTTCGTTCAAATAAGTGTTATTATTTTCATTTAGTGTGGTGGTGAGGCAGAGATTGGAGAGGAGATCACAAGACTCGACATTGCCAATTTGGTTTTAATCATCAAATACTGTGCTATTCGGTTTGGGAGTGGGGTGTGTTTAATTAAAACATTGTCTCAATATTCTTCATTACATTTTTCCTTCCTCTAAAAGTCCAAAGAATGATCTTGAGCTCTCCCTCCCTGATACTGCTGGCCAGAAGACCATCCTTGTCTCAGCAAAGGCTACAAAGGTACCAATGGAAAATGTTATATGAATACCGGAAAACCCTGACCTCAGAAATGATCCACCTAGCATGAAAAACAAACAACAAGGAAAAAAGCTATAATGAAAATTGAGTCTAGAAGATGGTTGCACCCATAATTTCACTGAGATTGGAGTCTAATGATGAGGAGATGGGCCCCCAGAAACATCTTCCCTACATATAAATAATGGGTGAAATCCACTCATGTCTGGCAAGCATTTTGGATGTCTGTCCTTTTCAGATGTTGTCAGAGATGTCACCACTTCCCCAGGCCTTTCAAAGAAAGGTCACTAAAACAGGATGAAAATATACACAGCACAAGCACTTTGTTTTTCCATGATTCATTTTACTTAGGATTGAACTGGGCTGTCCATTAATTTTATACAGCACTCATGTTTATACAAACAAAACGGAGGTTGCGTCAGTACTGGAGAGCTTAGTTAATTGTTTGCCAAGATGAAGAATGAAAGAATCTTCAAATAATTTCTCCCAATAGTAATTATGGCTGCCTATTTGTTTTGGTCAGAGTAATTAAACCAATTTTTCAGTGCTACATTTTTTTCGTTGGTGCTGAGCTAGCACAGCAGCAAACACTGCTGGCTTAGGTTCTAGACTGTCACTCGGTAAAATCTATAGTATAAATCTATCAAAGCAGACAGAATGGAAACAGCTTCATCAAAGAAATTGTGCTAAAATGACACCCAAACATTCTGATTACTCTGCCAGATGTGGCTCATACAAATAGGAAAAAAAGGAATGCATTTTCTAGAAGTCTTTCAGCTAGTCCTTTGGGCCTCATGGGAGATGTGGTCTGGTGGCAAAAAGACTAAAAAACAGGAATGGTAATTGCTATTCAGCAATAAGAACTTAAAAACAGAAT